AGTGGAGCTGTGGCGTTTTTTTACAATATTTTGTAACGGTAACTTCAAAAAATGAAAAAAAAAAAAAATCAAAAATTTATAGGAAAATGAACGACGTTATAATGCTTCTTTGCAAGGTCGAATTATGAAATTTGATGAAGTGTCGCGCCAAATGCATGCTGTACCTTGGATTCCTGCAAGTAACGTCATTCCGTGGCAGCCCATCAGGACACGCTCAAAAAGACATCGCTCCGCAAAACGATCCGCCAATTGTAATTCAGCATCATCCAAAAAGTTTCAAACACCAAACATTCGTTCAAAATCTGCACAGAGATGATTGTTATTGTGTTACAAACAATTGCTCTTGTTTGTGTTACAAAACTGTGGTGCCCAGAAGACCGATTGCAGTAAGCGATCCTCCCATGCTTTCTTGCAAACGGCAGATTTCTTTAAATCATTGGCGACGCGCACCGGGCCGGCTCGTGGGATCAATCGTTTTGCAGTATTTCGTGCTGTAATGAGATCGCTCGGAAACACAGTAGCTAGGATCTGTGACGTACTGGTCCTCGAAGTTCGGGAAGTCAATTGTCTACGCGATAATTGGACAGAAAACATTCCGTTAAAATTGCAGCTTCCAACTTTTTTGGTTCTTGAGTTAGCAATTTTTCTGCCAGAAAATTTCATGGGTCGGTCGTGAGAACCAAACATATTTGGGAGTTAAATTTGATATCTCTAAATTTTACGGGGGGCTAGGAAAAAAACCCCTAAAATTTTAGCCGCCAGCTCCCCTGGCACCCAAATTAGCCATTTCCCGCTAGAAATTTCCACGGGGCGGTACATGAGAACCACGCGCACCGAGGAGCTGAAATGAACACCTTTAAGTTGTACATGGGTTGTGAACACCCCTTTAAAATTTTAGCTTCCCAGCTTTTCCGGTTCCGAGTTAGCGATTTTCCAGCCAAAATTTTCACGCGCGTGCGTGAGTGTTGGTACCCTGGTCTTGGGGTGGCATTTGGCCGGGAACCCACTGGCAAAATTTTGGCACCGGAGCTTGCTTGGGTGCCGAGTTGAAATGCCCGGACAGACACACATACACACACATACACACGCACATACACACACCGGGGTCGCCACAATATGCATTTTTGCATTTGCATATGTGCAAAAACGCATAAAAATCAATTTTGATCAGGACCTTTAGTTCCAAGACTTTTAGTTTTCTACAGGTTAACCAGTACCACAGAAATATGCATCTTGATGGGTTATACCAGCTGTTTTTAACTACGTAGCGCGGCAGTATTGCTTTTGAAAGGCAACTGCATTTCATGGGCAATTGCCTTTATTTCACTTGATCTTTTCCCGCGTTCTGTTCTCTGCGAGACATGTGACCGTTTACTTCCCCGTAACTAGTTAATTTATCAAGCTATCGATGGCTCTTTTTCAAATCATTGACGACGCGCATCAGGCGGCCCCGTGCGATCATGCGTTTTTGCAGTATTTCATGCTGTAATGAGACCGCTCGAAAACCTAGCAGCTAAGATTTGTGACACACTAGGCCTCGACGTTCGGCAAATTAATTGTCTACGCGGTGCTTGGATAAGGGAACATTCCGCTAAAATTTCACCTCTCCAACTTCTCCGATTCTTGAGTTAGCAATTTTCCTGCCAAAAAATTTCATGGGCCCGTAGCTGAGAACCACATGTATCTGGGAGCTGAATTTGATATCTTTGACTTTAACGGGGGGTGGGAACATATTCTTAAAATTTCATCTCCTAGCTTTCCTATTTCCTGAGTCAGCCATTTTTCCCCCAAAAAATTTTACAGGGCCTTACGTGAGAACCACGAATGCCTAAAGGCTGAATCTGATAAAGTTTTGTTGTACACGGGCTGGGAACATTCCCTGAAAATTTCAGCATTCTAATTTTTCTGGCTCTCGAGTTAGCCATTCGCGCCAAAAAATTTCACGGGGCCTTACATGATAACCACGCACGTCTGGGGGCTAAATTCGATAATTTTAGGTTGTACATGTGTTAGGAGCATTCCATGAAAATTCCAGCCTCCTGGCTTTCTTGGGTCCCAACTTAGTGATTTTCGCGCCAGGAACCCTCACGAGGCCAAACTTGGGGGCCACGCACACTTGGGGGCTGAATTTGAAATGTTTGGGTTATATGTGGACGGGGAACATAACCTTAAAATTTCAGCTTTTTAGCTTTTCTAGCTCCTGAGTTAGCGATTTTCCCGCCAAAACTTCCACTCTTTTGTACGCGGGGTCTAGGTGTGCGTCAGGGTCGGTACCGCAGTCCTGGAGTGGCACTTGATGGGGGAATCTACTGGCAAAATTTTGGTGCCGGAGCCTGCTCGGGGAAATAGGCGGACAGACGCACACACACACACACACACACACACACATACATAATTACATACATACATGCATACATACACACACACACACCGGGGTCGTCACAATATGCGTTCTTTGCGTTTTTGCTACGCAGCGATGTAGCAGCGCGCATAGCGCTGCTACAGCCAGCAAAAACGCATATTGTCGAGAGGCTGTCTGTGTGTGTGTGTGTGTGTGTTGTT